CTGCTGCTGCTGCTGCTGCTGCTGCTGCTGCTGCTGCTGCTGCTGCTGCTGCTGCTGCTGCTGCTGCTGCTGCTGCTGCGTGCTGCTGCGTGCGTGCGTGCGTGCGTCGTGCGTGCGTGCGTGCGTGCGTGCGTGCGTGCGTGCGTGCGTGCGTGCGTGCGTGCGTGCGTGCGTGCGTGCGTGCGTTGTGTGTGCGTGCGTGCGTGCGTGCGTGCGTGCGTGCGTGCGTTTGTGTGTGCGTGTGTGTGTGTGTGTGTGTATATTTTTGTACGTTAGACACAAATGCAATAATTATATTTGACTATATATATGGTTCACCAAAAGTTCGAAGCCACCTAAATATCATGGAAAATATAAATTTTACCGAAAAGTATTTCAGACAAAAATAGGGTTTAAAAAGATTTATCTAGTGATCACATCCGTTTGACTTTTGGGTGGCATTGCCAAAGACAGGATAAGATCACTTTAAATTTTTTAAGTGGAGCCCCCCACTTTTCGCATATTCACTTGCATATTCTTGTAGCTTATTTCGATAGCTTTCTAAAATACATAGCTAAAATGTTTTTTGGTTAAGTAAATCTCGAGTTATAAGGTTTAAAAGTTACAGTAACACCGGCATTAGCATGATGTTCAAGGTGTTCGAACACTGGCTAAAATCTTTTGAATGTTATTCAGGATCATAAGCTTGACAATGTGTCAAGGTCATGATCATTGGAGGTTGTTTCTTTTTTTTCAAAAAATAAAAATAATTTTCGAAAATGAAAATAAAAGAAACAATCTCCAATGATCATGGCCTTAACACATGTTATCAAGATCATGATCCTAAACAACATTCAAAAGGTTTCAGCCATTGTGCGGACACTTTGAATAATGCCAATGCCGGTGGTACTGTAACTTTCAAGCTTCATAACTCAAGATTTATATTATTACTTAATCAAAATACATTTTATCTATGTGTTTTGGAAAGTTCTCGAAATAAACTACAAGAATATGCAATGAAAAATACGGGGTTCTATTAAAAAAATTTAAAGTAATCTTACCTTGACCTTAATGATGCCACCCAAGATCAAACGGATGTGAGCGCTAGATATATCTTTTTAAATCTTACAACCTTTGTCCGAAACACTTTTCTGTAAAACTTATATTTTCCATAATATTTAGATGGCTCCGAACTTTTGGCGGACCCTGTATATTATATTATATTTGATATATATATATATATATTTGATTTTATATATTTAATTTTACTTATAACAAATTGATGCTAATGTTATACATCAAATCTTTTGTACAGAGAGAGCACATATTCTTGGCGTCATTTTTTATTTTTATTATATTATATTATATTAAAAAAGGTAATTTTAATATTGAAATCGTATCTTTTTTAGTAGTTAATTTTAATTCTATTTAGAGAATGATTATTTAGGCTTACAAATTCTAAACTTACGATAAGCAAAATAAATGTACAACAAAACATTATAGAATATCTATTGCAAAATACATATTGCAACAAGCAAAAGCTGTCTACTTCAAGAACGTAAATAGAGTATGAACGATTAAGACTACATATAATCTAACAGTACGCATAATTAATATCTCGTTGTAGCAACAGTAATTCAGTTGGTATCATTATGTCATGGAAGTTCTATTAATGTGATATTCATTGTTTGACTGAGTCTGAGAACTAGACATAAGTATTCATATTTTATTAATTATTATTATAACTTTTTGTTTCCAAGTTTTAAATGTTTCATTGTTAATGAAGAATTACTTACACATTTTATTATTATTAAAGAATATTTTGTTTATACTATAAATATTATATATATATACAATAATATAGTTTATTATTGTACAAGATATAAAACTTATATATAAATATTGTTGTGAATTGACGCTGTAAGTTGATAACAAAACTGTAACTTTTCAAATTCTTTTTTAATATGAAATTATTAAGTTTGTATCCTGTTATTATTTTTACTTTTATTCTGGAAATTTTCAAATCCGTAAAAACAAATACAAAGTGGGATAATTAAAGTATTACAATATCTGTCATATTGTAACTGTCAAGACTTATAATTCGAAAAATTCTTGAAAAAATATATTATATACAGGGTGTTTCATTTTAAAATGACAATATTGTTGGCATTAGCATTGGTACCCAAGGTGTTCGAACGGCTAAAACTTTTTGAATGTTGTTCAGGGCCATCACCTTGACAACATTTGTCAAGTTCAAGATGATTGGAGGTTGTTCCTCGTATTTTCGTTATTTCAATTTTTACTAAAAAAATGAAAGTAATAATTTAAAAGAATGGAGTAACATGTGCAGCTCGATTATCGATTGCTAATGCCAACAATATTGTAACTTTGAAGCCTTTTAACTCGATAGATATTTAATGAAATAGTGTTTTGGAAAGCTTTCGAGGTATGTTATGCTCGAGATATGCTCGAGGTGTCCGTCTATCGGACACCTTGGATAATGCTAATGTCGACGATACTGTAACTTTCAAGCTTCATAACTTCAAAAGTATTTATTGAAAAATAACTTTATTATAGCGTTTTGGAAAGCTCTTGAGGTGTGAATACAAGAATATGTAATGAAAAATCTATTTAAAAAATTCAAAGTGATCTTGTCGTGACCTTGCGCCACTCAGAATCAATGTTATCATCTTATGTCCCCCTCAAAGCCCCAAAACTTTGTGTGAAACATTTTTCCCTAAAATGCACTATTCAAAAGATATTTGAGGTGATCGATTAAAATGGGACACCCTATATATACATACGTATATACAGAGTAGAGCAGTGGAAAGTGTTATACAAGCTATTATTTTTCCTAAAAGTATGCGCTATAACAAAAAGTTTTTCAAATAAATTGTATAGTTTGAAGGAGCAAATAAAATCAATTTAAAGAAATCGATATTTAAGGTCAATACCATTTTTAAAAATATTGGATATAAATAAAATTTTTGAATGCTTTAAAAATAAAGAAATATATAACGATGCTATCAGTTCTTTCTTATGAATACACAATATAAATTAGCAGTAATCCAAAAACTCTTGAATTTCTGAACATTGGATTATTGACTGAAGTTCAATAGTTTGTAATTCTTTATATTTTTCATATCTTTTATTATATTTATATTTTACAATTATAAAAACTTCTATATACTTTAATTAAAATGTTTAGATATTTTATTTTTATACTCGTTATGTTGAAGAACTGACATTATATATTTTTCAAATTTTTACATGGTTTAATTTTTTTCATTTTATAATTATACGAGTACAATGAGGGGCGAACTTTAAGGTTATTTAAGATTTCTCATTCTATAATTTCTAAAAAAAAAATTATAAACTTTGAAAAAAAATTCGATGTATTGTTTTTAGAAATCTTTGTAAATTTAAAATATGACGGGGTTTATTTATTTCTTTTTATAAAATAAATTTTTAAAAGTCTTGTAATTTTTAAAAATCTTGTTTTTTGGTTTGCAGGCTTTTAGGGTTTCACAGAGCAATGCCGGTGAGCGGTCGGACTCTCAATGTTACAACGGAAATTTACCAGATTGCCGATGGTGAGCTGCTTAAAACGTTCTTTGTGAGTCCGGCCGGCAACCTGTGCTTCCATGGTAAATGTAGTTACTATTGCGATACGGCACATGCTGTTTGTGGCAATCCTGACACCCTAGAGGGTAGCTTTGCCGCCTTTTTGCCAGATAAGGCTTTCGCTGCTAGGAAGGCCTGGCGGCATCCTTGGCGTAGAAGTTATCACAAACGGAAGAAGGCCCAGTGGGAACATGGTAAGACACAATTTTTTTTTAGGAAGATGTCACAAATTTTTTTTAAAGATTGAATTCTAAATAAAATATAAGATTTTCGCTTTTTATATACTATATACTACTATGCAATAAAGTTATAAATTATTATAGTGTATTTAAGTATATATATTATACATTATTAAAGTTATTAAAGTAAATATCTTCTTCTTTTGCATTTCACTTTTATTATTACAATTTATTATCAATATTTAATTATATTACTTATTACTTATATTATTATAATTACTATTTATTACTATCTATTTATTGAAATCTTTTCTATGGCATTTTATTGTATTAAGTATTATTTTTACTTTGTAATTAATATTTGGATAATTATAACATTAATTAATAATAATTGTTATTTTGATATAACAAATATAATAAGCATTATTTTTTTTTACTAATTAGATTTTTAATTCTTCACAATTTTCCATTTTTTCTTGTGAATTATATGTTTTACCATAAAAATTATATACATTTTATTTGAAATGATAAGCATATATCTAATTTTTAAAGATTAATAATATATAGGTATATAATACATATAAATAAATAAATAAATAAGAGTGAAATATAAATAATAAAAGTTAAAATATTTTGCAATTATTTATTTTTATATTTATTTTCTTAATTTTGAAAATTTTAATATCTGTGATTAATAAATTTTTTTTGCAAAATTGCAGATTCGGATTACTGCTCTCTGGTAAGAGAAATTCCACCATATGATGAAGGTCGACGATTGCTTGATCTAATGGACATGGCGGTTTTCGACTTTTTAACGGGCAATATGGACCGCCATCATTACGAAACGTTTAGAATTTTTGGAAACGATAGTTTCACGTTACATTTGGATCACGGAAGAGGTTTTGGAAAACCTTTCCATGATGAGACGTCTATTTTAGCACCTCTTTTGCAATGCTGTATCATCAGACAGACTACTTTAAATACTCTACTCCGGTAAGTAAATTTTTTATTATTTTTATAATAATACATAGTAAAATTATAAAAATATAAGTACAGAAATAGTAATTATTATTGCAAAAAATTATGCACAATTATGTTGAGTGGCTTTTTCAATCTTGCAAATATTAATTATCTTATAAATTCTGAAAAAAACAACAGCTATTGAACTTATTGTTATGAAATATTACGGTATAGCAATTATATAATTTAATTGCGAGGTGTCAAATGTTTCGTAATTTTGTCTAGATAACTAAACATCGATAACAAAAACGAATGATTTGATTATAAGCGTTTTAATCTGTATCTCAGTGTTAATCTCGCACTCGACATTATTTATCGGTTTTCCATTTCCGATACTTTGCGTATCCGCGAAATCCGGACGGCTGGACATTGGATTTATTGCGCAACCCGTAAAAACGCGAATCCGCATTAAAGCAAGAATTCACGAGCGCGTCCCAGCAATTCTGATAAAACGCAACTCTCCGGATTGCAGAATCCGCCTTATCGTAAAGTTTTTTTCTTTTTTCCTTTTTGGACAGAATCAAAGTTAGCGATGCTAAACCTACTGTTAACTGTTTTGAATTGCAAATCTCACCGATTGATGGACACTGTCTATCGTACGATTCGATAACTTTTTTCGATAAATCAAAATAATCGTTTTTATTTTATTATGTGTGTCTTGTATATTTGTTGTTAATTTTTTTTTGGACAATTCTTACTTTGCGATACTTGACGAACTAATAGATATGTAAACACACATTATAAATAATTTTTTTACCGATCACTTTACGAAAGGAAAAAAAGGAAAAAAGGGGGGAGGGAAACTCGAATATCATACACGAAGTTGAATGATGGCGAAGTTTCCGATACGATAGAAAACGGCACGGAGATGAGAAGGCTTCTCTAAAAAAGACTTCCCAGAACAGCGACACAAATGACAATTGATCCCAATTCCACACAAAGAAAGGGAAAAGCTCGATATAAGGAAACCACTGCGTGCGTTATTAGTATGTATGCGTTTAATCTCTCGTACCATCACAGCGGTAGTTGGAACCGACATATTCGTATAGGATCCATTGCTTTAAGTTTTGATATATTTTTCTTTTTATGTTAGTTAATTTTAACGCCTCAGTATTAATTTATTATATCCGGATTTTTATGTATTTATTTTTTACTTGCATTTTACTTATTGACTTTTTATATCTTCAACTGAAGAAGACTCTGTGAATCGAAACGTATTGATTTTAACTTCTCGACATTAAACTACCTATTTATTAAGATTATATATTTATTTATATTATATATTATTATTTATATATTATTATATATTATATATTGTTATATATTATTTATTTATATTTATTTTTGAGTTTTTAGTGATTCCATGTTATTTTTACCTTCGCTTGTCTTTGGCCGATCTATCTTATATATTTGTGTTAAAACACAAGCTAGACATTATAATTAATTTTTTTAAATATAACAATATAACATTTTCACTTAACATATATACATATATACACTTCCTCCCAAAAAAGGTAGGTACACTAAAAATTTAGGCAAAATTTATCAAACTTTAAATAATCATAACATGATAAAGATATGAATAAAATTGCAAAATAAAGCTTGAAATATCCATTTTAAGAATATTTGAATATTTGAATTATAAACGGTAATTTTTTTCAAAATGGCAGATGACAAAATAAGAAAATGCAAAATTGATAATCAAAAATCCGAGTTTGCGATGCACGGCGTGAATCAATCGCAGCCAAATGGGACAAAATGCACATGAAAGTATGGAGTGTTATCTTTAAAGTGCTTCTTGATTGACCTCGATACAATCATTTTTCGCTGAGTTATGCAAATTTGGAAAAAACTTGCTTTTTAATTAAATTTGAAATAACTCATCGAAAAATGAGTATTGAGTTCGATAAAAAAGCATTTTAAAAATAACACTTCGACTAGAATTAAATCTCATTGCGTGTGTGTGCATTTGCACAAGGATAAGAACCTCGTGATTCGTCAGCTCTACAATATTTTATGACTGGAAATCCTCCTTGTGATGTGTAGGTGCATGTGTGTATAGATGTGTGTGTGTGTGTGTATGCGTGTGCGTGTGCGTGTGCGTGTGCGTGTGCGTGTGTATGTGTGTGGCGTGTGCGTGCGTGCGGGCGCGCGCGCGCGCGCGTGTGTATTAATATGCACACACATATGCACTATGCACGCGCATCTACACACCTTTACACACACACACACACGCACGCACGCACGCACGCA